TTTGTACATGTCAATACAACATTCAGGGTTCATCTTTAAACATGTTCAGTTACATGTACACACATGTTCCATTTATATTGATATTTCCATTCCATTTCCAAGATATTTACAGTACTATAACATGTTGGAAAGAGGTGTTTGCACGTTTTAAACTATGTAACAGTTAACCAAAATAGGTACTTTGGCAGACAAGTCCTGGGTCTGTGATGTTTCTGCTACAGTTAGGAAAGTTTACCGATACTTCAGATTATGTAGAGCTTGTGGTAAAATGCATGCATAAAAGCCTTGACCATATTTTCAGTGGTGACATCAGTTAAATGTATCCACAGATTTTGGTTTGAATGTTGATGAGTTTTCTTTGGCCTTTGTGTAATACAGACACCTGTCAAAGTTTCTCAGTTTCCAACTTTCTCAGACAAAAATCTGTTTTGATTAGCTGTGTCTAGAGATGTACATAGATGTTTTTCTGTTCACAGTCAACCATGCTATGCAATACCCAAAGTTCAGGAGGGTGTGTGCATCATTGATTTTACCCGTAAATAATATCATGTACATGTACACGTAGCTCTGTACTCAGAATCCGGCATTTTATATGAATGGGCATTTCCTCGGTGTTCTCCTTGTGCTTTAATTCTCAAATCGCAACTTTCGATTTGTGGGGTTTTTTTGTTTTCATTACGATAGCTCATATCCACAGTATTTCCTGTCTTGGAGCTCCATATCATAGAGTTCGCCAATTTTAGTACATTAGGCCACAGAGGCGGATCTAGCAAGGGGTTGCAACCCCCCCCCCTTCAGCTGTGGAATTCAATGGAACTACCAGTGAAAACGAGTTTAGCCCTACGAAAAACCCCTGGACAAGGATTACACTATCGATCTATTCCTAGTCAAACAATTACATCAATTTCCGGTGGATCCTCTCAGAGCAGGGCATCCCATCAGTACACCTTTCAATCCCCCCCCCCCATTTCCTGAAAGCAAGATCCATCCCTGCGGCCATGTAAAAAAATAAGCAATTGGTGATCATCCTTTTTGTCCATAAAGGAAGGGCGGGGGGGAGGAAGTGTGTTTTTTTTTCGGAAATGTCCACATGTTAAGTTCATGCAGGATGTATACTTGTACAGTCGTGAACCCTGTTGAGAAGTCCTTGGGACTTGGTCTGTTACCTTGTTATAACAGTAACATTGTTTTTTATATTAGGAATAAAACCCAGTGAAAAACAAAGAAATTGGAATGCACAAATTCTCATACCGAAGGGTAATAATCTTACGATTGTTTCTCGTGTAAATTTCGGATTTTGTTTTACATTTTCCCCCCATTTGGGGGAAAATAAAAACATAAAAATTGGTTGGAGGTATTTGGAGAGGGTAGGGCAGGGATGATCACCAATGGATTTTTTTTTACGTGGCCTTATTTTTGCATGTGAGTTTTTAGAATCAACTCTTACAAAAATATATGTAGAAACTACAATACATGTGTCAAGCGAAATGGAAAAGAAAATCAAGAATGACAGCTAATTTTAGCATCCGCTCCCCCGGTTGTTAATTTAAGTTCAGTGTCTGTAGAAAGCTGTGGTTCTTATGAGAAGTGACACTTGTGGAATTGGCATTGTTACGAGCGTGTATCATTTTCCAGATAATTTTCTGTTGTATGACCTTCGGTAGGACTGATCTTTGGACTGTCCCGATATTGCAAAACAAATAGCATGGTAAGTTGAGTTATTCTAAAGTAAAATAGTGTGTGTACGTGTGTGCACTTTCTGACGAAGTGAACAAGTAGGCCTACTAAATTTTGTTGTGTCATTAAAGACCTTTGGTGAAGCAACATGGAAATTTATTGTATTGCAGAAAATTGTCTTTAAAATACAAAGCAATATAGGGCCTTGGCCCCTAAATGCCGCTACAAAAAAATCAGAACTTTATCTAACCGCGGAGGTAGGAAACGTAAAAAAGTGGAAATGCAATCACAGGGAACAGTGCATACTTAGCATGGGAAACCCATAGCAAAAGTGGCAAAGTCTGTTTTGCTTTTGTTTCTTTTTCAACTTTGATTTTCTGGGGGGGTCCTCTAAACAAAGTTACTGTGCGAGTGCTCCCGAATATGTTAAAAAACAAATTCTGCGAAGTGTGGCTGCCCTCATCTATGCGCAATGCAATGAATGGCGCTGGCATTTCAGGATAGATATACAGCAAGCACGCACTAGAACTAGAAGCACAGTACAAATCCGGGAAATGGATACAATGCACGGGATTAATTATGCGCGCGCGCATGAATGATGTTCGTTTACTTCGCGTGTGGCATCGTCCACTCGTATGCGAGGGGCGAGGAATGTACGTAATCGCCGATTCATTATTTGAAGCACAAATTGCTTATGGCTAAATATTATGTGACGTTTGGGAATTGTTGACATTATTAAATGCACTGAACGGGAAAGGAATTTGAAGAAAGTCGGCACGGCATTATTCATACTTTGAGTATTAGGTTTACATCCTTATTGCCAGCAATCCTCGGTAGTATAGTGGTTAGTATCTCTGACTGTCACTCAGGAGACCGGGGTTCGATTCCCCGCCGGGGAGGACATTTTTTTCTCCTGCGTTTGAAGGTTTCCCTTTCTTCACCTTTTTTTACTTTCATTCACCAAATGAGTTGAGCTAAACGTAAGTTAGTCCTTCCTTTTTTTTCCCCCAAATGTTGTAGGAGGTTCACCATTACCATCTCTGAATGACAAACCCTACAGTGTCAGAGGTAGTTCACCCTCCTTAGATATTTTGGGGATGCTTTCAGTGTGCATATTCCTTAAACTTCTCGATGAACAACGAGTACAAAATTTTGCCAATTCGAAAGGAGTTGGACGCTTCAAGGCTGTTTCTGCTTAATTTTAAATTTCCAACACAACCATGTAAAATCAAAACAGAAACCAAGGCGAAAATGAAAGTCGGGGCAATGTCAACAGTCATATTGGCAAAAAAAAAGTATTGCTTTATGAACTCCTTCTATGGACAAGCAAAATCTTGAGAACGGGCATCACATTAACATTATCTTTCAACAAATTTATTTCTAAAACATTCCAACAAACTTGTCCTGGTCCTTGACAAACAGCTACAACCAATAAAGGAGGCAATATTGATAGATCTAGTGTAAGACAATCCAAATAAATCAATACTCAGTAAAAGTCGGCCCAATTAAATCATCAAATTCTCTTTGTTCAAAAGGTGTGACAATGCAATTCTTCCTTTCTTGACACTGCAACTCACAGTGTAAACAAGATCACATTGTTCTTCACCCGTGTACCCAACTGCAAGGCCCTTCATATTCTGTATTTTTCGGGAACATTTACAATACAAACTAGACTGAAATCTGGATAATAACATCGTAAGAAACATGTCTTCAGCATATTCTAAATGGCAAAGCAGGAAGCAAAAACCCACGGCAAACCCTCTGCACAAATGTGTCCAAATTACTGAATTAACGGCCAAACTTCTTTAAACCTTTGTTCTCCAAATTTAAAAGCATACTGGTACACCAACACTTCACCACAAACTTGAGGGAAAAGGGAAAGCATTTTAGAAAATGAGGATGAAAAAAAGCTGAGCAGAGCTCTGTTAAATTAGAAACAAAAAGAACAGCAGAGAATTCTCCAAAAACTATTACACACAGTCAGGCTTCTCTTTCATATTTGCTTCCTGCAAGCAAAACATTTGTATATTTAATCATTTCCAAGGGTCATACATGTAGATGGGGAAGCCCCTATCAATAACTCACAACTCTGGGCCCTGGAACTTTGCCACACTGTTCTTTTATTGTAGCAGGTCCCTTGATATCCAGGTTAACATTTGAATTCATTAAACAGAGTGAGTATACACAGCACAATTAGGTACAGAACTGTGCAAAACTTTCCATTTCTATTTTTAGCAAACTGCTGCATTCATGATGACAATGTCCCATGCATAGTTCTTGCAGTAGTCATTGGACATGCAGGAAAAACTTAAGGCAATGTCAAAAATAATCAAATGTTCTCTATACATCCTAAAACTCAAACAATAATCATGGCCACTTCCACTGTCCTGGAGGTGCGTCCTCTTTCAATGGTTCCCATGGTTTCCACTCCACCATCTTTCTTGCTAAAGACAACTCTGCCTCGGCCTACAGTACAGACAACATGAACAAGAGTGGAGATCACATGATCACACTGCACATAGACATGTGCCCACTTGTCCATTTCAAACCAATTGTCCAGTCTCTTAACCAAGTCATCAACCCACAAGTCACACGTCATTTTTCCCACAAGTCACGTCATTTTATCCCCAGTCAGGTTGCAAGTCATATTCTTTTTTTACCAAATAAAGCCACAAGTCAGTTTACTCAAGTCAGGCCCCCCCGTCACTACTGCCATGGCACTTGTACACATTTGCTGGCAACATTTATTGATGACGTGATCTGGAATTGTTCCCAATACTGGTCAGCCCTCAATGCCAGTTTTTCTTTCTTTGATTTATTTCAGTTGGTGGTGCCACGCTTTTGCCAACAAGTCAAATCTGTTGGGTCAAGTCTGAAGGAGTCAAGTCCACGCAAGTTGGCAACACTGCCACTGTCTTACCTGACGAATGGCTTCTTCAATTTGACCACAGTTGATTTTCATTTCTAGCTTCTCTGTGTTCGGCTCCTGTAAACATAAACCAAAAACAAAATCATATGATCTGTGTCACATATATTGCTGAAGAATTCAGACAGTGAGAAACTATGTGTTATATTGTGATAACATGCCAATTATTATGCATGTTTAAGATGAAAATTTGTCAGATGTAAATAAAACACAAGAATAAAATTCTTAAAAACGAAGAACTGTTCGTTTCCACAATCACTCCAAGTCAATAAAGCATCGTTGACTTGTTTCCTTTCATGATTCAACAGCAGAGGGACACATCTGTATGAACTTGAAAACGGTAAGTTACAATCATTAACTCTGGGAACATTGTCAAACATAAAAATATCATTTTATAAACCTGAAATATTAAGCTGACAGGGTTTCATAGGGCTCAAACTTACAGATTTGACCACATTTAACTTGTCGTTCACAATCTGCTCTGTAGACTGTCTATAAGCCGCTTCCTTGGGTACAGTTTGAAGGATGCCTAAAATCTTAGTGTAGAGAACTCTCAGTTTCTGGAATTTAGAACAAAGACAGTTCTAAATAATAATCTGCTGAAATATTCATTTCATATGTTAACTAAGTCTTGGAACTTCACTGACAATCATTTGTTCCATTAGCCTTCATACGAATGTATTTGCCCTCCAAATTGTTGGCGATTTTGTTCTTTGGCTTGTAAGTTTAGTTCATTCCATTAAAAGTGGCCCATAAAGAAAGACACAATGAACGAACATGTTTCCCCCAAAAGCTGAGAAATTCAAGCAAAAGTGAAAATTGGATGTATGGAAATTATGGGACCAGTATACTCTGATACGTTTCCTCAATGCTAAGGTATTATGAACAAAAGTAGGTATTGCCAAGATTTTTTTATTTAGTTGAATTAATCCACTGACTGTGAAAGATGCAATTTTGAGGAACAAATAAAGAAAAAAGTAACATTTTGGGAAGTTTGTGATGCAGGATTTTTAGTATTTTTAAAAACTTAAAGACTGTATTTCATTTTTTCCCCAATGCAGTTTTTTTTTTCTTAATATACGAAAAGCATACAGAGAACCGGTTGAAAATTTCAGTTTTATTTTGTTTCCATCTACTGTCCCTGCCTGATTTCATGCTATGTTCATAATCCAATAAATAAAAAATGCTGGTCTTAATAATATTTACATTTACATAAAAGGAGTGGAAAAAAAATAAATCAAGGAAAGAAATGTACCCGTACATACCCAAAGCAATTAAAATATTAGTCAACTTATGTCAAGTAAATTGTATAACATGAGCAAATTATTCCCAAAGAACTGTGGGATTCATTGTCAGGAATGCAGTGGACGACAAATACCACAGTTCTGGGACCAATCAAGGTAAACAGCAAATAGAGAACAGATCCTGTGAGTCAAAGTCCAGGCAAATACTATGCATTTACTTACATCACGAGGATGAGCTTCTACTGCCAGACCAACCAGCCCTGTACTCTGCAGTGACAAAAATATGAAAAATATAAATGGGTTAGTTTTTCAAAAAATACTTTATTTTTAGAAACATTTCTGAACGGTCTTGCATACTTCTTAATTGGTACTTTGAGAACCTTAAATGCCATTAAAATGATAAAAGCTACCTGGGAGTAGATACAAAATTATGCACACTCTTGTAGTAGGCCTAATTTGTTTACACTGTTCCCCCAAAGCGAGACGAAGTATTTTCTTTCAACATGTGCACTTATTAAATCATGTGCATCAATATTGTCTATCAAAATAAATTATAGGCCTACGCTAGGCTTACAAATATTAAAGTAATTCAACATCACTTTATTTACTCTGTTTAATTTAGTTAAACCTTCCTTGATGTTTCTACATGAACAAAACCATTCATTTTCGTCACTTGCAAACACCATACTGTGGGAAGGAAAAAGGGGCAATGTTTGCTTTTTTATTCCTTCGCACGATGCCTTTCTACCATTGTGTAAAATCACCCATGCTGTATTTCCGATAAGGCTTATGCACGCCCACCCACCATGCCCGGTACCTATACCCCCCAAGCTTCCCCAATTAAATTCGTAATCACTGTCCGGAAATTGGACAACACAAAACTGGCTTTTTTTTCCAACTGTATAGACACAGACACTGCATGACTACAGTCATCTAATCTGGTAAAATATTTCGTACTTTTCAGCTATCAGAAGACAATACCTTTTTTAAAGCTCCTGACATGACTGTCCTTGAAAGTTGAAGAAATTACAGAGGTGCTATAATTAATAAACCTGTCGGCCGTCTAACGTTCTAAGTAGCAGAGCGCCCTCAAGTTATCCAGTTGGTCCACCCAGCAGGCCATATCGACAAGATAGTAACTTTTGCAGTCTAACTGATATCAGTCTCATAAAAAATAATCCCCGGAAGTTTTCGTTTGAAAAAACATTCTTTCTTTTTTATTTCTGCTTTGAAATAATACCTCAACGGAACACTAATAACTCAATATTATGCAGACTCCATAAAGACTAATGAAAGCCATGTTTTATTCAATATTTCGTTCTTTATTCAGAACATCTTCAGGAAACAATACTGATAAACAAACGTAATATCTGTTTATGTCTGTTTACCAAAAAGAAAAAACAAAAAAAAAAACAGATCGCGCAGAGCCTAGACCTCTCTGAAATTCCAACCCTGCAAAGGACTGTTCGGAATGGAACAGAAACCCCAGGATACCATTGATGCCCTCAACCACCACTTTTCTAAAAGATAAATTTAAATTAACTCACTCTCCAAGGCCTCTTAGTGAGAATTCCAAGTGGAATCTTCAAGAGGGCAGATAAGATCATCTACATGGTGTCGTATCCGCCAAAATAGTACGCCGTGGGCCCGTGCTTTTTGTTGCTCCCCTAGTTCAAAAGCCTACTGCGCCGAATGTCTTGGTGAAAGGAAGGTCGGCATATCATATTCAAAAGGAATTTACCTGCTAAATGTAAACCAGTCTGGATTGTGTGCTCTAGATTTCCTCGACCAAACTGTTTGATGGAAATTATATGCATATAACATTTTTGACTTGGATATCCTGCCGTCTATACTGCACCGGATGGTTCGTGCAATCTGGTGCAGTGTAGACGGCAGGATATCCAAGACTTTAATTAGTGTTCAACACTTTTGTCTTGGAATTAGTGTCGACGATTTGTTATCAAATAACCTGATAAAAACATGATTTCCAATGGGCGTGACTCATTTACCGATGAGGTTGATAAGATGAGTTACGAAATAGGTCAAGAGGGACTGTGTCTCTGGGATAACCCCTTATGCTTATGATGATTTTTTTGGGAGGGAAGTGATTTTCACTCTTGGAGTGGCCCGGGATTTATTACGGGCCCACTCTATTAGAAGAGTGAGGTTTTCACTCTCTTGCCTTTAGAGAGTGGGAACTCTTTAATTCCCTTCTCAAAGCGTATAAAATGTCCTCGAAATCTATTGTTAATCCAAGAAAAGCCATCCTCCATTTATAGCCCTCCCTGGCCCTTCCACCAAGAAAGAAAACCCGCCCTGAGGAACTTGAAACTTGGTTCTGAATCTACCCTTGCCCTAAGGTGACCCCCTCGGAAAAGGGAGGGGGCGTAGAGGGGCCTGATATCTTATTATAATAATTCTAAGCGACAACCAATTCGGTTTAAACTTTTGGACAATTCGAGAGGGAAAATAAATAGCGGTGGAAATATTGTGCTGAGGCTGACACCAGGCGACAGAAAAAAAAAAACCGTTTCAGATTTGATGGCCTCCACGCAGTGCGGATACCATTCCAAATTCGTATTTTTTTTTCACACAGAGATTATAATGAAGTTTCACGCGCCTTCGTACTTTATCCCCGAAACAGGGAATTAAAAACGATGGGCTCTATGTATCAGCTTGTATTGGTACTATACGTACAACGTTTGAGGAAATAAAATCAGATTTGACTGAAAGGTGTTTTCATGGACTCAGCTGCAAACTGACTGCCACAGCTCGGTCTTTCCTGTCTTCAGCGCCCAGAGGGCGGTATACCTGTTTTTAGATTTTCTGCATTGTGGCAGCGCCATTCAACCATTTGATGTGCGCGTTGACGTCTTGACACACACGCTTGTTTGAATCTGGTAAATAACGTAATTATGCAGTTTTCGCGGGGGATTTGAAACACCAAATTCTGCTTTAAGAATAAGATTTTACTTTATAGATGTCCTATAAAGTGTCCACAAGTATTCCGATGTTGCGATGATAGCCTTCAACGTATTCCGTATTTGCCGTGTCACGCATGTTCGAAGGGGGACAATCTCCCCACATTCCACAATCCAAAAAAAAAAAAAAAAAAAAATCCCCCCACGTGTCTAATCAGCTAATCGCACAGATGTAGACGAGCATTTTCCGGGTATTTTTTACCACCATCAACTAATAAGCTGTTCTGTGCGAATTTGTAAAGATGATGATGTTTGTGAGTTTGATATGTTCATCGCAAGCCTAGGCCAAATCTTGTTGGGGAGTGATTCCAGATTGTAAACACTCACGAACGTGGTAAATCATCTCTCAACTGACATGACTGATAAAAGTGGTAGTAGGCCTATGTGAATGTATCCAAGTCCAAAAATTGAATGAGTTGTGTAACCTTTAAACATTTCTGCAGCTGAGATATGAGTATCTTTAAAGAGATACCATTGGACCAGACCAGATCCTGGACGGGGTTCGGTGTTGGACTCGCTGTTGGTGTCGTCGCTGCGGCAGCAGTTGGTTACTTGTGGAAATATTCCAAATACAGATGCAACACGGATGACTGTAAGTATACCCCAAGATGAAGTCTTTTCCCCAAACCGGCTGTCTTTCAGAATGGCCGAGAGCAAAAATTGAAAATGGATGTTTCTGGAAGTAGGTTAACGTTTTTCTGTCTTTAGTCACAGAAGCTGAGGGATAATAATACTTGTTTATTCATTTTTGTAAAGTGCAAACATTATATAATTGTCTTCAAATGTGATGTTCAATGAAGACATTCAATGACATGGTCTAGCTGAAGATATGCAGGCGCTCAGGCAGCTGGCAAATGACTCACACCTGCCTACAGCCAGAGATCCTGTGTGTTGATTTTTACGGAGAAAGAAAAGAAAAACTAAGAGACCTAGGAGAAATACAGCAGAGAACCAACAAACAACTCTACTCAAGTGTGGTTTGGGCCTGGAATCGAAGCCATGACCGTACATCTATAATGGCTTTTAGAACGACTGCCTAGAACGTTATCCATTATGACTTGAAGTATCCCTTCACCAGCATAGAAGAAATAAACCGATGGAACAGTTCTTCAGCCAGGTTCACTTGTGCAACCAGCGTACACGCTAAGCTGTACATTCAAGCACAAATTGGTCATGCATGCATGGTGCACTTGACATGCATGGAACTGAGTACTCGCATGTCGAGGTCCCTCTAAAGGAACGTTGCTGTGCCAAAACATTCCATCCCAGTGGATTCTTCATTTGTTGCGACATATCTGTTTTGTTTTCAAATTCAGACCTGCAACCCGGTGGTGTGAACACTAGTCAGCAGCTGACCATTCTCAGTCGGTCCTCATCGCGACCGGTGACACCGGTACATTCCCTGAGATCAGGAGACTCGGGACGCGGTGCTGCCCAGCACGCCTCGCCAGGCAGCCCCCACCACGATGCCGCCAGAAGGCATGATGGGAGGTTGGACGTTGGCAGGGAGCGCGGAGTGGAATACACTGACAACCAGGGTTTGTTGCATCTCCTCTACAACATGGCCGAGGACCAGTCTAGAAAAGGTGCGAAGCTTAGTATGGATACTCAGTTTTGTGAACGAGAAGTGAATGATTGAGAAGTACAGTAACAAAGAAAAAGTTGTTTTCTTCCATTCATTAAACATGCCTGATTGTAAAATATGCAACAAATTTCTAAATTGCAAGAATGTAAGTGATGTATTTATCTGCTGTGTCCTTTAAAAATCTGGTTGGTGATTTTGTTCTCGTGCAAAACGTAGCAAAACCTTTCTGCCAAGGCTAGCACACATTTCTAATGTTGCTGTCAGATAATCGTCAATTTCCCTTCCAAGAAAGTTAAAATAATGAATGATTACTTTTTTATACTTACCGGTTATCGTCTTTTTTTTTTGTACAGAGAGTTACGTCCATCGTGGCATCTCCTGCAACCAGTGTAATGCAAGCCCCATTTGTGGAAACAGGTTCAAGGTAAAAGGAAGTCCTTTTTCTGGTTTTCCAGAAATAGGTTTCTGTCAGTTACGGGATTTGATAAAAGAGTTCTTTTTTTCAGTCAGGCATGGGGAACAAAGAATTGTTGCATACTAGTAGATACTGTTGCCGGACTGTAGTTGAGCTGTCCAGGCGACGATGCCATGATATTGGCAAGTTGAAGTTCAGTTGTTGGGTGTCTGTACGTGGAGTTACTGTGAGTCCAACCCATGTACACTCGGTATGTATTTTTTCACGGTTTCACTTTCTGCTGTGGTGAAGTGTATGTCTGTGTCAGGTAAAGTCATACAGATCTCTGTTGAGGAGTTTGTTGTTTACTTTTGAACTGCCTGAGATCCACCGCAGTGCTGGAAACCAGTGGCACATGACTTCTGCTGCCTCAGATGAGGAGCACCAAGCCCAGTGTAAAAAAATAGCAATATAGGCATCCTCAATTCTTCAAAATCCTGCAAACTTTCTGAAAGATTTTGAAGAAACTAGGAGGTCTTGAAGAAAGACAAGCCTAGCCACCCTCGCTTGGGAGGTTGGGAGAGTTTTTGAAGGTTCCAAGCAAAATCTTTTTTGGGTTAAAGTTGAAGCAAAAGTTGGTATTATTTCTCCCAGTGTGCCAACTGCATAGACTATGACATCTGCGAGAGGTGTGAGGCTCACGACAGGCACAACAGAAGGCACGTCTTCATCAAGATCAAGATTCCAATTCCACCCCTTGCCAATCCCAGAAATGCCCTCGTCAAACCCTTCTATCCAGGTTGGTTGGTTACTGCGCATCCAATTCTCGCGGTTGGACATCTGGGAAGTTTGTTGCATTTCTCCATAGCATGTGACCGCTCGAAGGGGAATTTTTACCAGGCCGTAGTGAGGTCATGCCGACTTTGAAAATGCATTTTCTGGCATTGTATTGTAACCACTAACCCTGCATTCAACAAAATCAACATAAGAATTGTATTTCTGCAGTATTGTGACAGATAAGACTTCCAAATAGCCTAGCCACCGTTACTTCATTTGGAGCTAGGTGCCCTATGTCGTAGAAGTGCTAAGTACTGTTTGTAGTGTGCGCATTGGATTTGGGTTGATCCAGGAATATTCCTTATGAAACACTGAACTAGCTTTGATTATGTTGCGTGTTTATCTTCGGCAGTACATTAGCATTGCTACGAGTCAAATTACAAGCATTGCTACGAGTCGACACTAAATGCTTGTATGAAAATGTGTATAAAAATCCTGTTGCTTTCATGGATTCACCGTCGACTTGGGTTGAGTTGAACCCAAATTTGCTTACGTCCAACTGATGTATCTCTGACAGTTTTGTTCCTTATGTGTCTCTTAGGTAAAGAGCTCCAGAGAAGAAGGCTAACATTGGATGAAATGCAACGTCTTAAGTCAACAACATACTGTAAGTACATTACTTTGTGTTAATAGTTGACAATTCCCACCCACAGACAAAATGTTGGAGAAAGTACATAATCTTAGGTGAGTAGGTCAGTGTTTAATAACTGACAGTTTTTACTAACCAACTTACAACTCCATCATCTTCGTGAAGGTTGTTGTCTTCTACTTTGTCCAGTTGACCAGCATGAAATTGAAGCTCTCTTTGACCAGTACCGAACGCTCTGCACCAAAGACAGGGGAATAACAAGGGATGTGTACGATCTTTGCTTGGGACCAATAGGACTGGAGAAGAATCTGGTCATGGATAGACTATTCAAGGTCAGTGTTACCATGGTTACAGCTTCAACATGCGAGGGGGAAAAAGAATGGAGTTGATATTAAATGATGCGCAAGGATTGTAATAATAGCTGGTCATTCAAGGGGTAGCTTAGGCCGTGTCCGAAACGGGCTTCCAGAGCTACGGCTAAGGCTATTGTGTGCGCGTCTCCGCGCATTTCCAATGGAGCGAAGACCTAGACCTAGCTCTAGACAAGAGACCTGGATGCAGCCTTAGATAGCAAATTAATATATGAACCTCTCTAAATCACATAGACGGAGTAGCTAGTTATATCAGTGTAATACATGTTTCAGTCTCAGGTATTCAGTTGTATTGCGGGAGAGCCTTAATCTTGGTTGATATTAATGCTGTGTGTTTCCCAGTTCTATGATGCCAACGGTGACGGTTACATTGACTTTGAGGAGTTTGTGCGTGGCCTGTCGATTCTCATCAAAGGAACCCCAGAGGAGAAAGTTAGATGTAAGTACAGCAAAAGTTGGTTAAACTTTGCAGGAAAACAGTGGCACATTGTATCGAACCTTGCCAGGAGCATCAGGCCCCCTGTGAAGTGATAGGTGGGTTTCTGCTTCTGTCAATGTCAAGGAATCTTCCAAAAGCTTCTGATGGAGTTTCAAGGGTAATGAAGGTTTGGGGTTGATGGTAAATTGAGGTTGAAGTGCACGTGGAAGCTGATACCTGCCTCCCTGTTTGGCTCGTAGAAGTCGATGTCTTTACTATTAGATGTATTTTGATTTTTACCCATTTCTGATGGGACATTTTCCTCAGTGCTTTCTCCTACTTCTCTTGGCGACTCTGAACCCTGGCTCTGTTGGACCTTCCAAAACACTCCAACATGAGCAAAGCTTGCAAGTTAAATCGGTGGCCTGGCGTGCTGGCCTCATGCTCTTGATGCAGTGTTGGGCCAATCAGCTAGACACGCCGATACCCTCCATGCAAAGGACTTTTGGAAGATGCCTTACCTTAGCAGTAACTACTCCTGAATCAGAGGCTGCCGTTCCCCACTTTGCGTAGTTTAGCATTCCTCCAAGTGTGCTGCGGACCTCCGCCGTTTTTGTGTTTCTTCAGTTACGCATTGGCAGTCATGGAAAGTGATATTAAAATGATATGGAGGCCAGAGCAGGTCAAAGGTCAAGTGCTGTCTGCCCAGTGCATTCATACCACAAACTGTTGCCTTCGACACGGACCCATTTCTGTTCATCACCCTGCCTACTTCAGATGCTTTTGAAGGTTATGACCTGGATGGTGCTGGCTGTGTCAGTCGTGACAACTTGAGGAAGATGTTCAAGGCGTACTTCTACATCACGATAGAACTCGTCCGAGATGTCGTCAAGGCATGCGAAGAGGAAATGGTAAGTTATTGATTGTCGGTTTGAGTCACTAAATTGAGCGCCAGCAGTGGGAACTGAACACTTCTCATCGGGGATACCTGTAGAGCTGCAACATCTGCATCTATTGATCATTTAGGCCAGTTTTTTTTTTTTTAATTTGTTAGATCACAAATGCTCAGACTGAATAGTACAGTTAGTAGGGAAAAGATGTGGCAACAATTTTCTCCAGACACTGTTTTTGGGCTGAACTGGAGAAAGTCCAGCGAATGCTATATCTATCACTGGTCTTCTGTTAAAAATACATTCAGTAATTTCGTTTATCCTCTGGTTGACCGTGAATTATTTAATTGTATGTAAAAAAGGTAACTTTGAATTTTGTTTGTTCTGTATTCCACCCTCCGACCCTGCCAATTTCATATTCAGTGAATAAACCCCCCCCCAAAAAAAATAGCTTAGAAAAGCAAAACAAGAAGATTTTTGGAGGGTTGCAGAATTATTCCAGTTGTCTCCAATATTACTGTTTCTTTGGCAGTCATTTTTTAAGAGAACCATTAGTTTTTAATTGAATACGTTTCATTGATACTAATTTATGTCAGATTTTCTGATATGTCGTAATCTTTAAAGAATCTGCACGATAGTTAGTCAGATAACCTTTATGCCTGTCACTTTTTGTTTCAGATGGCAAATTTTGATGACACCCAAGGCAGACCTGTGTCCTCTCTCTTCAGTGCCCCAATCCCCACTGACACCGGGCCAGACCCCAGCCAAATCACAAAGACCCCCTTCCCTGGTAACCCAGGGAGCAGGTGAGTGAACTTACCTATCACCAGCTTGCTTGCTAGCAACCCTGTGTGCTGACCCCACCCATTTCTTCTCAGTGCCAAATTTGCAACTCCAAACTTCTTTAACCACATCACACCGGGGGCATTTTGAATTTTGATGATGCTGGGACGGGATAATTATCATTATTTTTGTTTTCAAAATTCTTTAAAAATTCATTTCTTCATTTACTGGACACTTACACCCACACGAAGGACTGTCTGGTTTATACTATTAACATCTATTGACACCAGGCCTGCTGCCTTGTAAAAAGAGCCCAGATTGTGCGGTGTTACGTAGTATTCTTTTGTTCATGAAACTGGCACAGTGGACTGCTGACCTCTTTTCAATCTGGGCCAGATTTGCATGCAGCGGTGCTGTGTGGCTCATCGCTGCCGTGGTGGATAGCTTTTGTCCCCGGTGGTAATCAGCTTGCTCTTTAAAACAAGGGTGGATTTTTTTCCCTATTGAGAGTGAAAAAGTGTTGGTAAATCCCAGCAGCCTGGTCTATTGTTACGAGTATGGTCTTTTGTTACAAGGCCTAGTTCCCTTTGTCCGATTTCAGAGACCCCGGCCACCATATGCAGCAAGGTATGAGACAGAGAGAACCCCCCCTGCTTTGTGTTGGTCATTGTCTCGCAGTAATCTGGGGAATTCCTGTCAGACATCTTGGGGGGATGTGTTAAGTAACAATAGTCTGGAATGTGTATAGGGATTGGACATGTTGGGGCGGGGTACCCCTCGGTCTCATTTCTTGCTGGGTATACCGGCCACGCGTATAAAGAATACGTGTTTGAAACAGGAATCCCTGGCGGCAAGTGGTTAAGACTGTATCATAGCTCTCCTCTCTGGTAACCCAGTACCTTGTTCTTACCCATGAGTATCCTCCATCCCCCATAAATACTAAAATTTTCAGTTTAAAACCCAGAACTTCACTCATGCTTTGCTATTAGTTTTCTTAAAAGACATGACCCAAACCAAGCCATTCAAAGTTCTTATGATTTCTTCCTAAGTATTCCTTTTTTTTTAAACAGAGAGGATATGTGGCCCGTTATGGAAGCTATGTCTCAAGACGCCATCGAAGAAATGGTGGAGAACATCTTCAGGACAGCCAATGTTGACTTGGACCAAAGGTGAGATATTGGACCACTCAATGACCACTTCATGCTGAAAGATGTGCAAACATACAAGGATTTCCTGTATGGTAATACGGAAAATGTTTAAACACATTCCATCTGTACTCGTCCCCACGCTCGAGTGATTCCCATTGAGTTTGTATACACACAGAGACTCAAACCTAAATGTGGAAATTGAGCAATGATGCGTTAAGAAATGTCGCAAAAATCCTGAACATATGACCGCCAAGGGTCAGCATTTATGTAGTCCAACTTTTTAAAGGAATTGTGGTGTCTTGAAAATCGGTATGTTCAGCCCGAAATAATTAAAACACTGCCCTTATTAACAAAATAATTACATAACAACTTGCACTAAATTACAAATAATATGATTTTAGCAAATGGAAAGTGCAACAACATACCTCATCATTAACAAATGTCCAGCAAAGAACAAAGATAAAAATGCTCCCAAAACCTGTGCCCACAAACAGTGCCCTCTTCTATGAAGGTGTTGGGCTTCACCTTGCAAGTGACATCCTTAAGTGAGCGTCCCTGTAAGGTATGTTAAATTAGTGTTGCTACTGTGGGGATCTGACTTCGTTCTTACCCTGCCCCTCTATAAAAACTTCTCCACCAGTGCCCCATTACCTGACCCAGTAATGCACACTGTGCAAAGTTGGAATCTCTATTAAAAGTACTTCCTGCTGAAGTACAGAATACGGGGAACGGTTCTTATTGTCAATGTGGCAATTGGTTGTGAGCCCTACCCAAGGAGATATTCCTATGGTAACCAAAACGTCTCGGGTTGCTTTTCTTTTAGCCACAAGTTAAGTAGGTCTGTCTCTGTTTGTGTGTTTGTTTGTTTGTTCAAAGACTGTTTTTCCTGTGCATTTGAATGCATATTCTCTCCTAGCTCAGTGCTCCAGCCAAGTTTTAGTGGTTCACTGTGTCTTTGCTAGGCTGCTCCTAGTTTCGTCGAAAGATTTTGTAGCTGTGGGTTACAGCTGTAAGCTAGTGCCAGATAGCAGGTAGAGTGTATGAGGGGTCTTGTGCCCAGCGCTGAGTGAGGTTTTTTTTTTTTTTTTTGAGATCAGTGTGGCTGGGGACGCATTATATATGTGTAACTTTGTGGGAAGCAGTCACTTATTTCTTATTACTGTTCAATTTTTGCTACCAAAGCACGTTGAAGTAGATCTTTGGTTTGCATAATTGTCCACCATCGACTGCATGGGCGGCGATTGTGTAAAGTGCTCACCTCTCACTGCCTGTGTCCTGGGTTCGATTCCCAGCCTGTGCTACACGTGAATAGAAGTTCTCCCGGTTCTCCGGTTTTCCTCCCTCTGCAAAAGTCAACACTTACGATCTCTGGCTGCACTCCGTGGGTGGACATGACCATCAATGATCCTGTGGTCATTTTGCAGCTGGCCTAGGGCACTTTGACCACATTGTAGTTTAATGTGTCTTTGTTGAACATAGTTCCATGGAGTTTGTGCTTAATAAAATGAATGCTTGGGAAGAGTTTCGTATATGGACGGCAGTAATTATTCTATACAATGAACTATTAGCCACCAGAAGGCAAAAATATGTCCAGAAAAGTTAAATTCAGAAAGGAAAAAAACAAGTTGTTTACTTAGAAAACACTTCGAATTTTTGAGACCCGTCTCACAGGGTTTGTGTACAGGGTGTCAAGCGGTGTCCATTTACATGTATAGAACTCTTGAATGCTCTTTAATTTGTCACTGCCCATCAGCTTTTTGTTACCAATTTATGCCAGTTCGGTCTTTGTATTTTCTGATTACTGTATTGGCCTAGCCCAAGCTAATCTTCCTTTGGTGATTTTCAGTAAGGGATTAAAAGTGTGATAGGATAATTTTAAACTGGAGGCCTGGTGCTGTTAATGGACCAAGGTCCGTTTATTGGAGCCAGACCCCCTTGTAGGTTACCTTTTAGTCTGCAGTTTCTCTCTGCACGCAAATGGAACTCATTGTCATGATAGACGACGATGTCGTAAATGTCATGGTGAATTTAATATTTGGATCTGCCTACATGTGTATAAATATTCGAATAGCCAGGTGTGAACGACGGTGGAAGTATTTATGCCTCTCATTACCAATTCATTTGTCTCCAGTTTCAAGTTAGAGTGACGATGTCACACATTTGGTTGAATTTTTCAACGTTTCTGCCAGTGAGGATATACAGCATATGCGAATGTGCTGATTACCCGAGTGTCACCGAGCAGTGACATAAATTAACACTTGTCAAGGAACTAGAGACATGAGTTTGTTGTGTCGTGTATAGCATGGTATTAACTTTAAAACAAGTAACAGTACCTCATGTCTGCACAGTTCCAATTGCCATTATATAATTGCCTGAACCTTAAGGATATTGTATGATTTGCTTTTTAAATATCCATTTAGGTTTGCTTAAGGAGCTTGAAGTTACAACAAAAATAGTACATCTCTGATTTTCCAAGGCAATCGTAATTCATTTCCAAATCCTGGTTATATAATACACCTGGGGAAAAACCTTGTCATTGTAAGCAGGAGAAACTGTACATTTGTGGACGAGAGGAAAAACACTGAATAAGCATTAATGACAACAAAACTAACGTTTCAAATTAATCTTTATTAAATGGAAAAAAAAATTTTACAGCTTGATTTTTCAATCGTTTTTTTGTGTGTTTAAACACTATTAAACAAGGAAGACCCACACAAGGAAGACCCACACATCTTGAACGTGGATTGTGTCTAGGGTTACATGTAATGAAGTTTTCTAATCAAGCCATTTGTTATATCAGGTCTGATCGTAACTCAAGTAACAAATAACAGGATGCCTGGTCATTTGAAACAAATGCCTTCATTAAGGCAAATGATGTCTATGTAGGTCTATGCCTTTTGCCGATCACAAATACATGTATGCATGTACATGTTCACTGTAGACATGGCTTAAGTTATAGATGGCACATTTACACATTGCTAGGATGTAGGTTCTCACTTGACCTACAATTTATTTCTCTTGGGTTAAGGTAAACACTACCCATCTTCTCCCCATCCACAGTGAAGTAGTGAATCTCATTTTGGGTAGTCAGTCCTCGGGGAGGGAGATAAGATCGCTTTACGTCTAATGTAAACTCTCGCTGAGCAATCGGCCCATAGCTAAGAGTAATCTCTATAGAGTTTGCCCGCTTGAGATCTGATGAGGTCTGATTCCTGGTTGAGGTTCATTGTTGGCTTGCTTTGTCTCGCAGGGATTTGATCCAGTCATTGCCAGATTGTTGTTACCTCATCATGTATGTAGGATTCTCATCGTAACAATATTTTGTTTGCTCAAAATTGTGTGAAGCTTGATGAAATGTTGATATTGCCGTGGTCATTCTTACACACTGTTGACAAAAGCCTGACAGAATTGATCTATTTTATTCAAATGGCTGACTAAAAACTACTGTACGAGCATCCCATAGTCACTGAGTTACAAATACTTCATGCTACTGACGTGTAACGGACAGAGACTTGAATCCTGGATGGAGCAAACATGTCCATGAAAGAGATTGTCGGGGCTCCGTCCCTGAACAAGACGGCCAACTTTTCACCAAGCAGTAATCAATTTCCCTTGAGGTGATGCTCCGTGTACGTGGGCTTGTTTGTGTGTGTCTGACATAGAGGAGTAATTTTGGAAATCAGAAGCATATTTGCGCCTGTACCAGGCACGCGTGGTGCCAACGGCACTCTATTGTCTCGCCAACTTCTCTATTTGTCATAGATGAGGGGGCGCTTTAATGCACGGAGGGAATTGTACTGATGAGAAAACTGAGAAATGCGATTAACTCTAAGCTATGCTTTGGTTGGCATCTTGCCAAAATGTGGGAGAAAAATCAGAAAATATCGAAGTGCGAGGGCTGCTGAATTTATCCAATCACAGCATCCCCACATGCTGGTCTATTTATCATTGGGCTTACCTCGCATGTCACCTCGACATTTATTCTGAACCATATTTTCTCATCTTCTCCTCGCATTCTCCTTAGAATCACGCTGCAACAGTTTCGGGAGCTGACCGCTGTGGACAGCAGCCTTCTTGCCTGGTTCGATGCCTTAGGGACGGTCTTCTAGCCACACACTGCCCCCCTGCCCTCAGAGCCTTCTTTTTAGATTAAAGGTAAGGCATATTTTGAATGAGTTATTCATAAGGCTTGCAAGATTGATGTCGGCTGGCGTTGCAATGTCATTATCGGTACTAGGGCAGAAAGTGGGGAGTGTCGAAGTTTTTTCTGAGTGTGGTAGTCTCAAACCTGTTGGGAGCACGTAACACTTGGTAACTTAAAGGGAAAATGGAGGCCATACTATTTGTATCATAATCTCTTTCTAATGTGAATAGTTGTCACAGTTACTTTATCTCATGCTGTATAATTCATCTCAGTATACTCTCTATGCATTTCCTGTCCTGAGGCATTTCAGAAAAATAAGTTTTTCCCTTCAATCCATGTTTGAATAGAATGAGAGTATAAAGTCACAGCTAGGCAGGATGTGTGGATTAAGTGATTTCAAAACTTGTGAAAAAACAAATAGTTTAAATGATGACTGTCCCCCTTACAACCAGAGAGCACTAACAGAGGAATATAGAAAAGACAAGTCAAGCAGGTTCAGGTGTTTATCTTGCCAATTTTCATTAATAATAATAGTAAAAATAGTACAGGTTTTATGTAGTGCCCTCACACTAATGTCTCAAAATGCTTCACAGTATGACCAAATGTACATCAGTAAGAAAGAGATGAAAGCAATTTTATAAATAAATGGAAATGATTTTAAAAAGTGAGTCTTTAAGCTAGATTTAAACATAGATTTAAAGTCATCGTCCGTTTTTTTTTTCTGAGTGGTACATTGCGTTCGTGTGAGTGTAAGTGCCTGAAGGGCAGAAATCTACAACCGCAATGCGAGACTGAACTGAACAAAACTACCAACCTCTTCGCAAGGAAGAAGGGAAGCCATGGGTGTTGCATGGGGGGTAGGAAGAGGTGTCTAACTTCCAGAGTGTACCTCTCCGTCTGCCAACGTTTCTTTCTTATCAGTAGACAAAATCCTCCTGACATCATATTCTCTGCTTCATACTTGTATCAAATTATGGTTGAGCATTGCATACAGATGCACATGTGTATACTGTTTGAGTTCACAATCAAACTGCTATTTATACCTCTTTATCACGACAGAAAGTGTATGTTGAGCCCTTTGATTCTAGTGGGAGTTTCCCGTTGTTAAAGCTGGTGAAACCTGTTGTTCTTTCTTCATACTACATTTTGCATTTATATTGGTGGTAATTAAATATCTTTTGTCACAAGCCTGCAAAAATGGCTGAAAATCTCAATCGGACATTTCTGCTCCATGAAGTACTTTTGATTTGCTAACGTCAACTCAGTCTAGCCTCCTAACAGCTTAAAAGGTTTTACTTTCTAAAGCAGGAGAATAATGGAACTGACCAATATAACTAGGAACACAATTTAATTTCTCTTTGTCAAATAAACAACCCTTCATTCCTGGCCTTATCAGAGTGACAGCTTTGTTGTTACAGGGAAAGTACATGTACAGTACAAATCCCTGCACCTCAAGGGAGTCATTCATAAAATCAGCCTTCCTGCTTTGCCTATAAATTGTCTTAATGGGACTTCAGATCTGATGGGGGCTGTAGTGCATGGATGACGTAAAGGGATTGGCAGGAGTGACGAGACCAAGTAATCACTGCTGCTGTCCCAAGAGGTAGGCCTACTGTACCAAGTTGGAAACTACCATACAAAACCAAATCATATACTCTGGCTGTTCTTGTTGTTGATCTCGGACAAGGTGTAAATCAAAGTATTCATAAATTGTGTCAGAGTGAGCAGTTTGAAATGCTTGAAGCTTGAACAAAAATTACAGGGAGATATCCTTGAAGAGAAAGATACGGGTGATTATCTTCTTTTGTTTTTAGTTTATTATTTTTCCATCTCCATGTATTAAGGAACAAAGTTTTTATATAGTTATTCTCATGACGAGTCAGAAGTCAAAGTACATTGTACGAGTGGCTTTGTACACGTGCACATAGAAGATATACCAGTATGGCAATACATGTACATTGTGAAGAGTGAAATTTAGACTGTACGGAAGGTTGAACAAAAAAAAGTGTCGTTTGTTTTTCATAGTCTGCGTGTGAAATAGGCCCTATTAAAATCAGTGGAATGCATCAAATAGTCAAAGAAAAATGAAAACTGTGTTAAGGTAAAAACGGAAGCATCTGAGCTGAGTGAGATATATTAAGCGCATGAATATAATGAAAGCCTTGTGTTCAGAGACTAGAACTGTTCAGGAAGTGTAACGCCTGGGAAAAAACACCAATGAGATGGTTGCAAGGACTGTAGGACAAATGGAAGGTGTCATTTATAGACCTTTCTGTCTACTTCATAGTTGAACTTTTTGCCTACCAGAGGTCCCTTAACTTTGGCTGGCCATTTGTATAAAGACGCTCAAGAAAAATTTCAAAAGTATCATAAATTCTCACAACAGCAAATGACAAATATACTACTCAAACAAGTTTAGGACCACTTTTTATTTTGTGTGTACTTGTTTATACAAGATATTTCACTGCTGAAAATGTGCATTTGATGCTGTGCAACATTTTTTAATTTTTTATTCCAATGAGAACACCATGTAAACAAACAAAAAATGAAAGAACTAGACCTCACTCATTGCTTGGAAAAAAATTACAAGTTAATAAAAAAGTGGTCCTTAACTTTTTATGAGTAGTGTATTAAAGTAATCAGTGGCAATACCCCAAGTTTATACTAATGGGGGTAAACTTGGAACAGTGCTGAGTTAAAAACACACCTGCTACTAAAAAGGATGGTAGGTTTGGAGGATTTGACTACCCTTACGGAGAGTAGGCAATTATGAAAAGGGGCTGTTCCAGTTCCTCAGATGATTGCGTTTGCCTTCAGCAAAGTGAAAATCTATAGTGTAATTTGACAGTCGGGATTGCATTAGAAGACATTATTGTGGTGGCACAACACATGTGAGCAGGTGGGGCACGGACCGTTATATGCGTCTTGGACCTACAGGGTGTTGCCATTTGCCAAAAGCATGCTCATTTCAAGCTTAAGAATGTGCAGGTGGCTGCAATGCCACTGCAGTTATGGTGTCTCCTCAGATATAGGCTTGTCTGGTACCCAGCCTCATACTTTCAGATCCTGTCATATTCGTCTGTGTGTGTGTTTGTGCAGTTGACTGAGCTTGGCTGAGTTCATCTATTATTGACCACATATGCCCTCGGCTTTCGGCGGACAGCTGTGTCTAGTCACCGTGTCACCAGTTATGACAGCATAGGATAGATTAGCTGCATTATGGTGATCAGATTGTGTCTGAGCTCACTTAATGTATCCTAGTGGCATCTCATGTTGAAATGGATAGTGGTTCATTTTGGATAGTCAGTAGAAATAGCTGAAAATCTAGGTACTGGATTTTGATGTAAGGAAAGTGACGTGTGTTAAATTAACAAGGGAACTTTATTAACCCACATTTCCACTCACGGTAAAAATGTGTACTTTTCACACAGTCTCAGACTAAAAGGTGTATATACTGACTTCGGGCATTTCTCAATCAAGATATAATATGGGGTTGCATAAAGGCAAGCTCCAACTTGATAGCTGTGTAAATGTGAATACAAATTGTTGACATTATGGCTGGTCAAATTTAGGAAGGCTGCTCACGTTTTAGCTTCAGCAAATTTCATTGTGATTTTTGTGAACTTCAAAGTTGCTCAGCATTCACATTCGAGTGAAGCCGGAATTGGCTGCAATGTCAGACATTTTTTGTCAAACCTGTATATTGTCATCAATACTCCTTGCACTTTGCCGATTCTCAATTGCGGCAGTTGATAAATTAACAGTTGAATTCAGGGAAGGTAACATGAAACCTAATACATTAATTTCTTCATTTACTTCATTTGATATTATTGACATCACTTGTTATCAGGAAAGTAACACTCAATTAAATTATTTGTTCTTAACTTATTTTCATCCTTGTTTCTTTAACTCAAGGCTTGAAACAAGCTGTCTTTTTTCCTCTAAACCTTCATAAATAACTTCTTTTAGTGTGAATTATAAGATGAAAGTTTCGTAGTTGTGGAGTTTAGATATTTCATCCTGTGGGGACATTGTACTTTTTACCAGTGAATGGTACCTCGATTATTTCAAGCCCTAATTTCTTGTTGTTTGTTTTATCAACAATCATTTCATTAACCAGAAGTGTAAAATAAATGTATGCCCATGGCTGGCTGTCCTCTGTAGCTGGCTTGTTAGACGTCAGAGTAAATGCCAGGCTTTGACTTTTGGCCAGGCATTCAGAGTGACTTGACTGATATTCATTATTCAGTAAGCCATTGTGAGTGGCAGAACTGAGCAGGCATGCACATCATAGCCTTTTGATTATGTTAATTTCATAGCCAGAATGAACAAATGGAAGAGAAAAAAAGGGAACTTAACATACAAATGGAACAAAAAAACAAAGAAATGAAATTCTACGTCCCTTTTGTGAATGTTGCTTGTACAGAACTCAGGGTTATTTTGACATTTGAATTTCATCATTAACCCATAACCCATTCAAATCCATCATTTTTGCAAATATTTATTTTGTTTTTCATTCACCAGGACTAATGCCAGTTGCCAAGGAAACCCACTGCATGCTGTTACCATGGAAATATGAAAATGACTGCACAACTAATCTCCACGGCAATTAATAATTAATGAGCTTTATTTATACCAATATGTAAACATGCAGAATGAAGAATACTATGCACTTTAATAAATTCATATTGTAAGCATTATTGTTACGTTTCACTAGTTAACTCATCCATGAATTTGTTTTCAGTTGGGGATTAAGGGAAAACATCATCCATTGTAAATTTTGGGCTACAGAAGTTGAGGATTAGTTCCTCATCTGGGCCCAATTTCATGGCGCTGCTTACCGCAAGCAAAAAATGTGGGCTTATGGGGAATGTATTTCACAGGTTAGCGAGGAATTTGGGCTTGTGCGCATGCGTACATCCCGTAACTAAGGATTCTGTGCTGAGGTGCTAAGCTTTTAAGCACAGAATTTTTCTGCTAGCACAGTAAGTGCAGAATGGAGATCGTAAGCGCAGAATTCTGCGGTAAGCAACGCCATGAAATTGGGCCCCGTTGGTCTGAAAAAAAAAGATCATGCAGCATATCGGAAGAGCAATTTTCATTTTTTACTTTTGATCTTGTTACACTTATTGTGTGTAACGGACAACATTGTAACTCACTTTCTTACACTGCACTGAAACACAGACCAATGTCTTTGTCCTGCTTTATGGACATATGAACAGTATGGACAGTATGAAGTTTGTTATAAGAAGAAGGTTTCATTTCAAATGTGTGTGATCCAAATTGGACCAAAGGAATGAGAAAGAAACATGCTTTGTACTTGTACGTTTTATTTTATTGCAGGTTTTTCCGTTCAGTTGGCTTTACTGGACAACAGCCATGATGCCAATATTGTGCAATAACGAATCATGTTTCGGAGGAAAGTGTTCAAATTTGCAGTGTTGAGTCCATCACAAGTCCCTTCATGAATCCTGTTACGAGTCAGTTCACAAGACCAGTCATAGGAAGCAGGGTAAACAATCACAAAGAATGCTTTTGTCAAAGTTCATTTAAAATAGCTTGTGACCCGGCTTAACCACTTCTCAGTGTTATTCTGCATTGCACTTGTCCAGTGTGGTGTGGGTTTTTGCTGAAAATACCAATCTTTTCAAAACTACAAGGTACCGTGCCACAACCACAGCCCACCAGCCAATGCTGACCCCTGGAGGTGGTTTAAGATTTGTGCGACATTTTTACATGTTTTAAGGCATCAACACTCTTTCCAAATTCTAAAACTGTGTCAGGGAGTGACGTTTGTTACAACAGCCGACCATGGCCCAAGGCTGCTTGAGGGCCACACACACACCCAATCTCGAACGGACTATCTCGAGCCTCTTTGTGTGCACAAACTTGCAGGGACTTGTGATGGAGTCATCTGCAACACTGCTCATTTATATAATGCGCACAAACCAGTGAGCCAGTTGGGTATTCCAGCAGCACATGCCCAAAATGAAGTGTGCCTGCGGTCATTTGGACATGCGCGCCGGGACTGCCCTGGCCGTGCAGCCCAACGCAGACTTGCGCATGCGCGTGCATTGTTCCCGAAAGACCTTGCTTTTCTTGCTAATTGAATCCATCATAAGTAAGATCTTTGAGCAATGGGGGAAGAGGGTAGGGTAAGATCGGGAAGGAGGGAGTGAGATGAGCCTGTATTTCTTTTACGACAATGGGTTTTCCCTCAGGGAAGTTATACTTACAATGGCCAGTCTACATTTAACAGCCAGTGAGGGTGTAGAAATTAAAGAGTCTGATCTATACATGTTTATATTAAAACTTTTCTGGATCAGCTGTTCAGTTGCACTGAAGTGTACATAATCTCTTAAAATGCAGTTGACTAATAGTAGAGCACAAAACGGGCCCTAACAGAGTCCAGAAATCGGCTTTTCATCTTTCATATATCACAAAGGCTGTCGTATGAAGATTGTAAAATTCTCTGATGAAAACTATTGTATAAATTTAGTGTTCATGAAAATGCATGTAAGACTGATGTGTCCTTTGTTCAGTCTTCAAGAGTGTTCACCTTTATTGGGATGATTAGCTTGTAACTGTCAAGACAGAGAGTGGCAGGACTGTTATCCGGTCCATCACAAGACCTCCTCATAAGTCCAGTTACAAGAAACAGAATGAAAAATGGCAAGGGGATGCTTTTGCCACAGATCACTTGAATAGCTTGTAACTTGGCTTAAGACTGGATGACTTGTGATGGTGGACTCGCAGGGACTCGTGAGAATTTCTGACGGTCAGACTACAGTCCTATGCATTAATAAATCTTGCAGACTCCTACAAGGCCTTTCAGTGGATTTCAATATACCTGGGATGGGTGAACAGTTCAGGTAAACAGTCAGAAGATGGCTGATGTCAAATGAAGATGTCTTCTGCCGCTGTAGTACAGCACTGTCCAGTTGGGCGGCAAACTTGAAAGCTTGAAAATTTGGCATCCATTAAATGAACACACAGCCACACGTACAGGAAACCTATGCTCAGTGCACGATAAACTGTAATTACAAGATAACTGCAGACAAATAGTATAATATTGAAGACAGTGGAGTTCTTTGCAATCTCCTCTCCATTCATACAGCTACAACATTTAGTACTCTGTGCAAGGTTGAAATTCACGCTGAGTAGTCGGTAATATGAACTGCCTTGGATTGGTTAATGCAGTTGTGCTAATGTTACGTACATGTACGCGTACATCTGCACAAAACAGCGCTTAGACTTTCTAGCTTTTATGGTGCTATTACAGTCTGTATTTCTGATCACTATCTGCTATGTACCTGAGTATTCCCCTCACCTGCAAGAGAGAGGCTGGTAGGCCAGTGTTTCAAGTGGACACCTGGCGTCCACTCAGAGATGGTCTATTCCAGTGAAAAGTGGTTGGATGTGCTCCCGCTCCATGCCGTACTCTGCATTCGCTGCCACAGGATATTTTTGTTGCTCATTCCTGCACAGAGCCTAGTACCTTCGCATTGTAAGTGTGTGTGTTAAAATTGTTACTGGATTGTTACTAGACCAAAGTAAAGACATTTAACAAATATGTGCAGAACCCAAACATGCATTGCCTACTGCACAGACTGCCACTTGAATGTAAAAATGCCAGCCTCAATTACCTGTGCTGTGATGGTGACTTCCTCTTGTTATCTTTCAAGCAAGCCAAGCAAAATGACTTTGTTTATTTTGTCACCATCTCCCTCCTGTGTATTGAGCTGCAGGTGAATCCAACACACATAAAAATCCCTTAGGAAAGTGACCCGTGATTCCTTACTTGCCCCTATGCTGCATCCTTCATATTAAGAATCTTAACAGTGAGATTGGATACAGTTTCAGTGAGTCACCGGTACCCAGCCATTGATCGGTAACAAGTTCACACCTGGCTGTTGGCCCGCTTCAAAAGGATTTTAAAGAGGCGAGGGGAAGTCATTAGATCTCTGGCGTGAGTTACATTTATCAGATATCTCGAGTACCATAGCAAGTTATTATGTATATGCCATAGTGACTTAAAATTTTGATCTCATATTTGTGGGTTATTTTTTCAGCTTTCAGCTTTTTTTGGCAAAATTTTTTTGCCAGAGAAAGATGTGTGCATGCCTGACTTGGTCTCATTTGGTTTAGGCTGGGTAAAATATGTTGTTTTTGTCTTTCAAATTTGTTTTTATTCTGACACAGATGTGCTGCGAAAAGGATTGTAAGCTGTGTCGTGATCAATTATAAGGAACCGTATATGTACATGAGAATTTGCTAAGTTGATACTTATTAATCTGTGGAGTATCTTTTCCCACTTCCTCATTGGCAAAGAAGAGAGAGTGGTAAGAAATTTTCAAGCAGGCTTGAGCACACAGCTTGGATGCACTCAAAAAGTGTGCATTCCAACAGAAACTTCTTGTGCATACTTGCTACAACCAGCATCAAACATGTATGAACCTTTGTGGCACACACTTGCGGAATTTCCTTTATTAAATGGGACCACATTGCCACATAAAAATAAACCAACTGTTGTTCCTGCACGGAGTGGATTGTCCCCTGACCAAAATTAGATGCCATCACTGAGGATGTTACTTGCTTTTGTTAGTGTCATGTGGTCTTGCTCATGTTCGTTTGACACGTACCTTTAAGAAGGGGTGCAAACTCTGCTCGAAGAGGTCCCACCTCTGTAATGGACTCTAAGTTTGGTCGTTGGCTAGGTCTTCCTGTGTATACATATGTATACATGCGTTATGTACTCCCCTCCTTGAGTAATTCCTCTAGGCACCTGTAAGGCATCCAGACAGGTGGCTGTTTTTGAATAACAAGCCTGTGGAGATTGATCCGGATGCATGACTTGGTGGCCCCGCTCCTGCATTTGTACCACCACTAATTGTGTATCTCTGATGCAGAATCCATTGGATACAGCATCAGCCTTTGGCGAGTTGGGCCGTGGAGGGAATGCCAAGTTTAGCAGTGCTGGCAGTCTCTTGGTATTGATTAGAATACTCGGGCAACTAGAGAATGTATAGTGCTGAAGATATAAGGGGCATGCTTTCACATGTTTTATTTGAACTGGCCTCCTGTTTTTCACATAGTCTTGTTCTTTGAATTGTAAAGACACCAGAACTATTGAAAGATATTATGCCAGATGTACAATATTTTGCAATTCCCCTTGAAATTCCTCGTGCTCTGCTGCTGCACGACACCCAGTAAAGTTGGGGGAAAAATCCAGAAATTATTTTGAGCATTCTTTGAACTCCAAAGAAAACTTATTTGAGGGTGATTTATAGAAAGCTATGGTTTGTTTTTGGAAGGGTTGTCTCAATTATAATTTACAAAGAAGGTAAGTAAAAACAGAAAACAATGAAACTAGTTTAAGTACTGTACCTGCCATCTTAAATTGGCTATTTTAAGTATTTGGGGCACTTGACACAGCCCCTAAAGGGGAGATTTCCTCTCAGTACTATCTTTTACTATCCATTGCTATCCTTCCTGTTTGTTCCTCTTCTTTCAGCCATGCCCATGCAGGAGCAAACGACCCAGTATTTAGGCCCAGGAGGTTATTAGAGACAGCTGGCAATTCAGCATAGAAACGACCTTGATTTGCATGCTAACAAATCAAAACACATAGATCATTACATTTAAAGGAAATACACTGCAACATCGTTAGGAGATTACACAAAAAAAACCAGATACACTGTATGTTTTTGTACAGGGTGTCTACATAAAAAGTATACCGAGATGAAAATTACTGTAATAGCAAAACTACTTTATATATGGGAAAGAGAAATATATCTCTAGAAAGGGCAGGATGCCCTCTTTGCAATGGTATACAGCTTGTGATGTTATTGACACAGGTGAGTGAATAAACTAGACCAATGTTAAGGGAACTGAAATCGGCACTGTGACACCCTGTATAGTGATCTTGATCATTAATTCAAACAAACGTCAGCTACCACATACATGCAGATGAAGAAGTGAAGAGTTTGTCTTACCAACTATGAAAGTTATCACAATTTTTGACTGGGTTTGCAGTATTTTTGCTGAAATCATGACTTCAGATCTGCCACCACAGTGTACAGTATTAGCCTTTTTGAGAATTTGAGAAAGATATCTTGAATTTCCTCACACAATACCCATGCTGTAAATCAACTGTCCTCACAGTTCAGACAAAATTCTCCCTCCCGAAAATACATGACTGGCAAATGTGCCAATCAATTTAAATTAAAACGCCGAGTGGAGATGGCGAGCTATACAAAGAACCACTTGACTTTGCCCGCCTGCCAAGTGTCCCAATCTGACGGTCACACTCGAGATGCCATGGAAGGTACCCAGCAGATTGATTGGAGATAGTAAATTGGTTAGTTGTATGCAGGGACCTAGTCGAAAATTTCAAAGGAATTCCCGCAAATTTGATTTGAGGTAAAATTTCAAATTAAGTTTCAAATGAATGAAGTTCGTTTTTCAATATTAAAAGAAGGAGAGCATACGTCTTGGAATATTTTTTTCCCAGCCACTGACATTTTGTTTTACCCCGGATAGAAGCATATATTACAGAAGAGTTTCCCAGAAGAGAGGAAGTTGTTGTTTGGGTCATTCATTAAAGACGTGGAATATGTTTCCCTAGAAAAACATCTCCATGTAAACAGGAAACTCTGGGCTGGAGAGTGTCGGCCTAAGGACAGAAGAGACAAACAATATACAGTTTGGGATGACAAATATCGTAGGCAACTGTCATATTTAGGCCATTTTTTATCACACAGCTCACACTGCTATAAATAGTTTAATTATGACCTTATGTCAGCAGGCAAAATGGACTCTAATGTACATGTACGTGTGAGACTACTTTTACCTGAAGTCCACAATGCATTGAGTGCTTCCAGTACAATCTGGTCATGCGAAATGTTAGGCGACTGTATTTGATGTGTTAAGGGCAATTGTTACTTATTTCAGAAATCTTGCCCTGGAATCTCTGAAGAAAGTTTTAGTTTGTTGAGACTTGGGAAAACAGTGAACTGTGTGTTTGCTATTTTGGGGTGTAAACATTTTTAATGCTAGTTTTTCCTCATCTGTCCCTATTCTCTGTAATTTTAAAATAAGTGTGATTTTCACTGGCATTAGTGTAGATGGAATGGTGTGTTGTCAAGACACTTTCCAGAAGAAATGTGTGCCACATGAGCAAAATCATGTAGCTGTCTAGGTGATTGGTTGTATGCCCCGTTCTCAGTGATCCATGAGCAGGGTTGAAAGTGAACCTTTCTGAACACTTGAGTCATTTTGCAGAGAGTTCACACAACTTTACTTGTTTTCCATTTTGAGATAGATTTGAACAATTCTCTCCAAATTCCGCCCAGAATCGTGCCATAAATTGTCCAACAAATTGAACTTTCCCCTTTCACTTCAGAGGCTTTTGATGCATAGCCCCTGAGCATGTGATAAGGTTTTTCCAGATTGTTCAGATGACACCAATGGCTGAAAGTGCGAAGTGGAACCTGACTGGTGAGTTTTCACTGACGCCTGTCAAGTAATGTGCGAAGGAAGTCAAGCAAAATAGGGTAGAGTGGGCATCCTACGGGCATTAAACACTTATACGAAGGCTAGCTTATTATAAATGATGTGGCCAGTCCTAAGAGGAATATGCTCTGTTACACTGCCTTTCCATCTGTTTAATTTAAATTATGCATGGTCTTTTAACATTTTGGTATTTTATCTCACAATTTACAAAAATGTAAGTTTGATTCAAATAGTTGCTGACAAATGTTGCACATTTGTTGGTTTTCGAAGATAAAGAACTCCCATGTTTTCATTTCTCATTCTTTTTCTTATTCTTACTTTTTTTGTAAAACTTCCAATATTTGTGTAGGTAAAATGCTTCCAAACCCACTCCTCGGAGGGAAAACGGTTTCACCTTTTCAGTAAGGACAGTGGTTTGTGGGCTCACTTTGGTTTCATTTTGAAAACAATAATGCTCTTCGTAGAGAATATTTCTCCAACAATGCCAAGTTTGAAAGCTAGAACAGCAACCTAAATTTGAGGTTTTTTGAGGTGGGAACTATTATTGTCAGTTTTTTTAGTTGTTGGTATCTTTGCCTGTCATAGCAAATGATGGTTGGAGGTAGATTTGAACAGCTCACTGTAACCAGAAAAGAGTCAGGGGAGGTGAAATCCACCCCCTTAACATTTTCCCCAATATTCCCACAGTGCATTTTTTTTTTCACCTGCCAAACTTCAAAAAGTTTTTCAGTAACATCTTACAGCAATGTTAACATCAATCATGTGAAAATCGGATATACAGTACCATTCTTGCACAACATTTAATTTTTCTGAGATCAGTCAAAATTGCATACTGTCCACTGACATGTTCAATGTACGCAAGCCGACACGCAAGGGACCACAAACTTCAAATGACCGTTATAACAAAATCTGTGTCAGATTGGTGTGATATTTCATATTTTCATTGATAATAAGTGGGTTAACATGCATGCAAAGTTTCAAATGATCAGGCAAGTAACAGCAGAGTCTTTATGGGCTGTAATTTGCCCCCCCCATCGGCTTTGAGATGCCCCCCCTAAAAAAAACATTCAGCTCTTTTAGGGTGATTATGTGTGAAATATCAATGATTGTGAGATCATTGGTCTAATTGGGCAGAAATAATTAATCAGGCCCCATCTACCATATGAGTGCAGTACATGGTGCTGGCCTGGCTATCTATTGGTTAGAATAGGCAGTTTGTTCATGTATCCAACCAATTGCTCGTTTTATTGCATGACTAAGCGATGTACCAGTAGGCTTCTGTATATCGCCCACAGAGACAACCCAAAAGGACATAAAACAAGACGTTGTACGGCCACCGTCGGAGATATTGATTCACTAATTACGATGTGGGGATGCAAGATTGTGTCGGCACGTGAGCACAGGAGGCCGGACGATGAACAGGACTAAATGAGGACAAGTGCACGACACGGCACTCTGCATTGTGTGTGTAGTATATGGGAAACATTAGCGGACGTATATGCCACTAACACACACGTGGGATATCAAGGAATACATTTCTGTCAAGACTGCCTTCATTCAGAGGGTCTCACCCATTTTTCTCACCACAGAAGCTAGATTCCTTTAATTTGTCTGGACACCTGTGCTGGGTAAGGATTGAGGACTGTCCACTTTTCTGCCTGTGGTATTGTGTCAAAGACTTCCCTTCATTTATATCATGTCATCGAAAGCAGTGACGGCATAGGATAAGTCAGACTGCACGATGTTCGCATGTGCCATGCTGGGTTGAGATGGTGTGGTGACCGGTGAGTTGAGATGTACAAAGCTTGGCATTGTGTACATAGGTTTGTCAGAACTCAATCGTTTCTCTGCTGCATTGGCTTGGACTGTAATGTTATTGGAACCTCGGTGGTTTTTCAATTTTGTAGAAGCTGCCTCCTTTATTCTGGTGACTTCTCCAGTTGAATTTTAATTGAGTGTTTCGCTAAAGTGTTGCAAGGACAGCCTGTTAATGGATGCTTTAGATTTAAGAACATTTTAAAACATTAATCTTTGCATCTGTTTTCTTTGACAGTGAAATGAAATTTCAAATTTAGTGCTCTACTTATGTTGAAAAATTCCCGTTGTTTGAAAACAAATTTAATCCTTGTCTGTAAAACCTAATGGCATTGTTTATCAGTATTCCACAAATGTTGTGTTAAAAGTAAGGAATGCATGCATACGGCAGGATAGACAGTTGTACTGTTCTGAATTCTAGATTGACAGATAACTCCTTGAAACCTGGGCAATGCCCAGAGATCCACCACATTCATATTCAGTAGATGTCCAAGTGTCCCTTGAGGGTTTTAACCTGATAATCCTGCTCTTCTCCAGTTCGCCATTTTCTTACTCGGATACCAAAATCCTTATCTTGAATGTGAGTGTTTTGGATGAAGTTTCATTATTGCAGCCTTTTCATTCATCTGTTAGATTGGTTAAAGGTATGTTTAAGGTGAACATGACTTCCGACTCATCAAAATTCTGGATCTAATCATTCCAATTTGATGCCTCTTTTTCCATTTTTGCTGCATCTAAATTTTGATATTGATCTTTTCTAAAAGAGAACCAACATCAATGTGGACAACCCTGCTTCCTTTATCGGCTTCAACTGTTTATCTTTAAGACTTATTTATCACAATATATTGATTTTAATACGATGTTGGGCCTCAAGTTTAGCAAAGAAGGTCAAGGGCAATTGCACTGAGGTCAAATTAGTCACATCACTTATTCTTGTGTGTGGAGCTTTATTGAATAGAATTTTTGTCGGGTGTTCTCTCTGTGTCTGTCACCTTATTCCTTATTTGGATAACATTAATGATATCCAATGTGTGTGCATTATTATGACTGATTGGTTAAGAGGATTGGGTTTCAAGGTGATGGACGACAGCAGATTGTGCAGAGAAGATTGAATAGGATGGAGGCAGAGTTCTCATGGTCATGGACAAATCCTGGAAAAAAGGTGTCCTGGAAAGTCATGGAAAAGGTACAGAAATTTGGAAAAAGAATTGCCAGTAGGGTGTCCTGGAATCCTATGGTCAGAGGAGAAAAGTCATGGAAAACTCAAGATCAAGTGATAAGGGAATAATGATACAGTTCCCGGCTGTACCCTTGTCGGTCTGTAGTTGTCACTAGTGGATATGGCAGTCTTCCAGTTCATGATACCAAACAACTTGTCTCTGCAAAATGGAATTATGTTTCAGGAAATTGTCAGATTTTAGTACTGGAAAACTCGTGGAATTTAGGTTTCACGTACCCGTCAGAACCCTGGATTAATTCATTGTGCGCCTTCAGCCTCCCAATTTCTTTTATTTTTTATGTGGAAATTTCTTGTAGCCTGCATGCTCTTACTACCCTGTGTAAACATGTACGTGTAATCTTGCCTTTGTGCATTTGCCATATTTCAGCTTTGATCACACCTGACAGATTAAATATTTGGCAGATTGATGTTGGTACTTGAAAAGTATTTAAGAACAACACTAATTTTTCTTGCATCAAGTACGGGTTGAAAAATGATAGATAACATGAACATGTCCCCAAGTATGTGCACTTGCGTAGAAAGCATCCAAGTTGCCAGCCAAAATTCTAGATTCTGAATTGCATTAGTCATCATCCAATCCTGAATAATTGCATCAGACCTCATGTGAAAACAATTAATCATGGTTCATTTCCTCCACACTTGCAAATCATGTGAGTAGAAGTCCAGAGTTTTGCCTGGGCTGTCAGATTCCCACTTTGAAGTTGCGGTGTTCATGCAGTGTGCTCGGTCAGCATCATCAAGATTTTGTTTCTAAAAGAGTGTCTTTTGGATGCCGTACTCGGAGTCTGACCATTCATACATCTCCTCTCATTCAAAGCAGTGTATTCCTTTGTTGTAAAGCTCATGGGCTCCTGTAATTACACGTCAAATGTACATAAGATTAACCATGATAATTAGGGAACACTTGGATTTTTCCAAATAATTTTTCTTTCCAAATATGAGCTTTTGAGTGTTATGAACCACTTTTAATTGTTTGTCAAGACTCAAACCCTTGTAAATTGAATATTGAATAAAGAACTGGTAATAGTTACATGTAAGTTTAGATTTGTTCATGTATAAATAACACTATCCACTTACAGTGATGTGAGCCCACTGTTTCTAAAATGCTGTGATTGAAACATTGCACAAGGTTATGCCACGGTGAAATAAAAAAAAAAGATAATGCTGAGTCTGCAACTCTGAGAAGCTTTTATGTTTGCCCTGAGGCTGATTTCAGACTTTCCTCACGCGCCTCCAAATAAAATACATGGACCAAAGAAGAATAGCACGCCGACACACGAGAAGGCCAGAAATCGAAGATTCACTTGTCATATGATGCCATGTAATATTCAATAAGCTCATTGAAGAATAGCAAATTCTACAACGGCTGTGCCAGTTACAGCAGAAAAAAAAATCAATTGGACAGAGAGCCCCTGTGGCTTACAGTGTTCCCTTCTTCCAACCTCAACCTTTTTTTTGGGGGGGGGATAGAGGACGAGACTGTGTATTATTGTGTGCCTCCAGGGTCTAACAATAATAACATCATTTCGCTTCTTGAAAATGTACTCTATTAGAACAAACAGCTCAATATTTGATGGCCAGCCAGCCTTGAATAATGCAGCCCAGATAGGGGTGCCTGCACTCACTGTGACTGCCATGGAGAAAGAGCTCCTGTATTGTAGATGCTCACCCACTGTTCTCATTTGTTTGGTCATTTCAGACATCTCTGGGGACTTAGAGTATGATGTTTACAAACTGAAGATTCAGTCTTTGTCAGGGAATTTTTTATTTTTTTTTTTATCTACCATGAGATTCAGGTTATTCTCAAGTGCCATTCGCATGTCGTTTTTGCTGTCATTGTAAGCTGTCAAAGAGTCTGTTGGTCAAATTGTCTGAAATCTGTTGATAATGGCTCCAAGATGTAAGAACTTAAATCCTTTTCATTTTTATGTTGCTTATCATTTGATCTTCAGCAATTTATTTTCCATCAATTTTAAAAATGCACCTTTTCTTTTCAAACCCCCCTCCCAATTTTATCAATAATCAAGTGTTATTAATAATAAGGGTTGAAATGATAGAACATGATATAAACCATATTTTTCCCCTCAAAATGTCATCACACATGCAAATATTTCTGATGTATGTTTAAGTCAGTGTTTGTTATATATTTGATAGCTACTCAAATTTCTTGGGGAATAAATTGAAGCTGGAAAATTAGGCACTTTCTAGAATAACACATAGATGGAATAAAAGAAATTAATTCATTGAAGGTGTTGCTTTGGGGAGTGGGTATACGTTTGATTAAGTTTCTGGCTAATCAGTTGTAATAAGATTTAATACAAGTTAATTATTCGTCTAGGTTGTCAGTGTAGACTGCAGCCTCCAGTGATTGTAATTATGACTCTTGGAGGATACTGAGGGAGAAAAATGTAAAAATAGCAGTCAAGAGGGAATACGTCGGAGCCATTTTGTCAGGCACTTCTCTAGCGGTGTTTTTCTTTGCACTTCGCCTGCTGATGGATTGTGTATATTGGTTGGTGTTCTACTCAAGTTTGGTGTGAATCATTTGCATGTGAGGCACTGCTGTGAAGCCTGTGAACTTGTGTATGCCTGCACGTTAGGTCGTCAAAGTACCTGCCCTTGGCCCCTTGGGTTTTCCATGTAGAGCCTAGACTATTAGTAAGTTGGATCAACATTAAGCCAGCATAGGGAAAAATTGCACTTGGACATCAGACTTTTTCCAGCCATTTACTTGACAAAAATGAATGACTCTCTGCACTTACGGCTCAGGCAAACAGAAAGCGAATGCTGGCTGAGCACGTACGTGTATTGTGTCTAATTTCACCCTCTGGGTTAGAGTGTGTTGAAAATTACATTTTTACCAAGCAACGAGCCGCCAGTTTTCTTAATAGCCTTCACCTTTAAAGATTTGAAGTTTTGTCATTCCTTTGATATGAGGCTTATTATCAGGTTATCATCTTGGTAAACATTGCCAAAATAAATTGAATGAAATGCAATAGCACGGTAATTGCTTCGTATTACATTATGACCCAAAGTCCAGACATGCCGCAGAAAAACTATCTTCATTGCACAGACAAATCTTAGGTTGGCTGTAGTCCACAATCAGATGCTGTTAATGGTCAATGTAATGTTAGTGAAGGTTAATGTGCAAGTTAAACTAGTGAACAATAGTGATTTTGAACAGCCAGCAACCACAGTGCTTGTTTTAACGAGGTTTTGTGACTGATCAGTTATTACTTAGACTAAATGCTGTGTTTCCCTCAAAATTTCCCTATGTGCACTGAGTCACTTGTTTGAGCTAAGCTACTGATCTGACCACATGGTATATTAGCAAGGTTGGGCTTACTGGATGCAGTAAGAGTAGAAGTATGTGTACATTCAGGGTATTGTTGAATTAGAGGTGGGTGTGGCATTGGGAGGAGTTAGTGTTGGATGTCATAAGATTGTGTTTTGTTTTCTTTCTTCTGTTGGACATGTCTTTTGAGTGCGCGCGCATTCGTGGCACAAGGGTTGTATTGTGTCTAAGGATAAAATTTTGGTTCATGATTTTGTCCAAAAGGAAGGAAACTTATGTCTTTTTTTAGACTAGCTGCTAGAAGTCAGTGAGGTTGCTTTTAAGTATACATGCTTGTTTTATACTGGACAGTTACCGGTGTTTTCAAGGAATTTTATATTGTTTTTCATACGATCATTGTGTTATTTATGTAAATATTTTACAGAAACCAAGTG